TTTTTTCCTGCCTCTGCCATGAGTCACATCCTATCCAAGGATCTCTCCACTGTCCTTTCAGTGCAGCTGTACAAAGAAAATAAAAATTGGACTTGGTTAGCTGAGCAGGACATTGGGAAACACCACAGGAGAGGAGGTGTTTCCTTTCCTTTATATCCCTTGTAGTGTGGCAGTGCTAAAGCAGAGCCCAGAAGCCTGTGGCCCCTTGGCACCTGGCCATACTTACCTGTTGGGAATGCCTGGATGCTGGAAAGGGTGTTTAGTGTGTGCCTGCTCAGAGACCTTCATTTTCAAGTCATTTGGCAATGTGTGTCTGAATCCTGAATCCGTGGATTTGAAATGGGAAGGTTTTTGTTTTTTTTCCTGGAGGCCCTGAACAGTGACACAGAGCAGCAGGGCCTGATGTTTGAAGGGATTTTAGTGCTGCAGTCTGGTGGAGAATCCTGCTTTTCAGAGCGTTTGGGACTTTTGTTTGGCTAAAAAACCTCCGAGCGTCGGGAAGAAAAGATCTTTGTCTTTAAACTGTGAGCAAAGAAAGCTCGTAGTATATGTCCAAGAGCCACCAGAAATCCCCTGGCAACCAGGCTTAATGATCCCAACACTTCCTTGAGGGATCTTAGGAAATCAGAACCCCCTACAAAAGAGCTGCTGTTATTTAAAATATGAAGTTTGTGCTGGAGGCTTCTTTACAGAGAGGCCGGGAATGGGCAAATCCTGTTCCTCTTGGAATTTATAACTTCATGGGCACACACAGCCCCTGTGCTTTGAAATGGCTGAAAACTGGGTCCCCGAGGTCAGGGGCTGAAACAGAGGCTGAGGGGGTTTAGCTTGAGGCAAAACTTTGGAAAGTTACAGCCTGAGCCAGCGAAGCGGGAAGTTTTTGGCGGAATGTGGGGAAACTTTCCATCACACGCTCCTTTCCCTGCTGGCAAGGAGGTCTCACGTGGCTGGAGGTGAGCTGACTGGCATGATTAATCACCTTCAGCACCTCTTTCCTGGGCTGGAAAGTTTGGAGAGACAAAGAAAGGAAAATTACTGGAGCTGGCCTGCTCCTTGCAAACCCCAGGGCTGAAGTGTCCAGGGATGGCAGGTCCTAAAATGCATCCAGTTCCTGTGAGATCCTCCTCTAAGGCTGGATAATCCCTGCACAGCCTGGGCAGCAGCTCCACTGGGAACTGTGCCATTTCCAAGTGGGAAAGCGAGCAGTGCCTTTCCTTTGTGCATGGTTCCCGCTTGGGAGTGGAGAAGTGGCTTTTATCGGGATGGGTTTGTGTCTTCCTGGCCTGGTTCCTGCTTGGAGTGTCTCTGGGGATGCTGCTGATGGCAGGAACAGCAGATTGCACTTGGAGCATCAGTGCAGGCTGCACATGGAGCAGGGACAGCAGTGGCACAGGATGCCTAAAGGCTGCATCCTTGGATGGAGATGGGAGGTCCTTGGAAACCTCAGCTGGAATGCTGCATCCATTTTTGAGTCAGCCTTCAGGAAGGGCCTGGTGGGGAGTGTCCAGAGGAGAGCAGATCCCTAGATAACAGGAAAGAAGGATGATTGGGAGGCTTGGACTTCTTTTTTCCAGCAGAGAAAAAGCTGAGGGAGGTGTTGTGACAGTCCCTGTGTGTATGCCAGGAGTTGTTGCAGGGAACAACAGCATGATTTGTTCTCCGTGTCAACTCTCGTAGGACAAAAAGTAACGGGTGTGTTTTGTCATGGGAGATTCCAGCAGGGAACCCTCTGCCTGCAGGGCCCCTGTGGCAAGGAGTCTCCATGGGGATGTCTGAGGCCAGGTTCAGCAGCCATCTGCTCCGGATGATGCCGCTTTGGGATGGGTTATTTGGGATCTCTGGCCTCTCACCCTGCCCAGCCCTGCCGTGGGCAACTCTGCAGGAGAAGGAACCAACAGGTCTTGTTCCCCTGTGTCCACAGGTAGTTTTGCAGACAAGACCTACGAGTGGAGCTCCGAGGAGGAGGAATCCGTGAGGAAGGCAGGACCAGTGCAGGTCCTCATTGTCAAGGATGACCATTCCTTTGAGCTGGATGAGGCCGCCCTGAACCGCATCCTGCTCTCCGAGGCTGTCAGGGACAAAGAGGTCGTGGCCGTGTCCGTCGCCGGAGCCTTCAGGAAAGGCAAATCCTTCCTGATGGACTTCATGCTGCGGTACATGTACAACAAGGTGAGGCTGCAGCTCAGGGGGCTCTTCCCAGGCTTCTGGTGCTGCTGCTCGGTGCTCCCGTGTGGTGCCCAGGGAAGAGCTGGACAGGAGTTGGTGCTCTGGGAATGCTCAAAGCCTCTCATTAGGGTGGGCTCCACAGAATAAAACAGAGCAGAGCCTTCCATGGCCCTGTGCACCCGTGGGTCTCTCGTGGAATCTTCACTTTGGAGCAGGGATGTTCACGTCTGCTGCCCTGAATCATGGAATCTTCAAGTTTGGGAAAACTCCCTAAGATCATCAAGTCCACCCCTTCCCCCAGCACTGCCAAGGCCACCACTAACTCATGTCCCCAAGTGCCACATCCACACAGCTTTTGAACACTTCCAGTGATGCTGACTCCACCACTGTGCAGGACAATCAGGTCCAATGCCTGATCACCCTTTCCATGAAGAAATTTTCCCTAATATCCATTGTAAACCTCCCCTGGCACAATTTGAGGCTGTTTCCTCTCCTTCTGCCCCTTGTTCCCTGGGAGCAGAGCCTGACCCCCCCTCGGCTCCCCCCTCCTGTCAGGGGGTTGCAGAGCCAGAAGGTCCCCCCTGAGCCTCCTTTGCTCCAGACTGAGCTCCCCCAGCTCCCTCAGCCCCTCCTGCTGCTCCAGACCCTTCCCCAGCTCCATTCCCTTCCCTGGACACACTCCAGCCCCTCCAGTGTCTTTCTTGTCACAAGACACCCAAAACTGATCCCAGGATTCAAGGTGAGGCCTTGCCAGTGAAAGGAAGGAAAAACCTCCCTTATAGGATTTTTAACCTCCTAATCTTTTCAGAAGGAAATCTCTCCAACAGGGACTGTCCCCTCCAGCACCGGGACAGAAGCAGCACAGGGGAAAAGTGTGAAACCAAAGTGAGATGAGAACTCACAGCAGCTTCTTCTGTTCCTCCTTCCAGGATGCTGTGGACTGGGTTGGAGATTACAACGAGCCCCTGACTGGTTTCTCCTGGAGAGGAGGATCTGAGCGGGAGACCACCGGCATTCAGATATGGAGCGAGGTTTTCCTGGTGGACAAGCCCGACGGGACAAAGGTGTGTGGCCTCTTGTTGGTGGCCAGCTCATTTTCCTCTTCCAGCTTTGAAGACTCTTCTGCCTTCTCTTAGGTGGCTGTGAAAGTTGAGAGAAGGTTTTCAATGCCTTATCCCTAATTTAGCATGGATGGGTTTAATGCAGGGAGGTGATATGACATCCCAGTGTCCCTGATATGCTCCCCAGGTGTCCCTCTAACTCTGTGCATCCCAGAGTTTTTATCTGTGCTATTCCCACACATCTTGGATCTGAGGTCCTTGCAAATTACTCCCCTTTCCTGGAGCAGCAGCTGTAAAATGGAGTTTCTCCGTTCAGGGTGGTCAAATACAATACAAAATGGGATTTTGGAGGCATCCTGCAAATTCAACTTGCAGGAATATTTTGTATTTGTCTACTCTTTAATGCAGAGCCCGACACCAAAGCGACACTGAGTCATTCAGGGTGTGATTTCTAGTGCTGGCTGAAGTTGTTCTGGGTTAAGGAGGTGCAATAAGTGCTTGGTTTCTATGACACAAAGCTGATGCAGACTCAGGAAAAGACTCCTCTGCACTGACAGCAAGTGTTTGAGGAGCAAATTTGCATTAATTTCAGTGCCTGCTGGAGTCGTCCTGCTGTCAGGAATGGCTGGAGCTGCTCTTTCCCCTTGTCCTCCACCAGCAATAACTCTGAGGCAGAAGCAGTGAGATTCCCAGCAGAATAATGAAGCTGGCATTCCCCCTCCCACCCTTTTGGCACGTGAGGGTGGATTTCCTTGGATGCAGATGCTGAGGGAGTGCTGACGTGGATCTTTGTGCCCCGCAGGTCGCGGTGCTGCTGATGGACACGCAGGGGACCTTTGACAGCCAGTCCACCCTGAGGGACTCAGCCACTGTGTTTGCCCTCAGCACAATGATCAGCTCCATCCAGGTAAGGAACCTCTGGGCTGGGGTGGGGGTCCCTCACTCCCCAGGAACCACAGAGCCTGGCAGGGCTTCCCTTCCTGCCATCCCGGTGGGTGGGACGAAAGCTGTGTCTTGGTACAGAGCTCAGCACATCCTAAAAATGGAGCAGCAGGAGGATTATTTGGTTCTGAGAGGCCTCCAGGCTGGAGCATGACAGCCCATGGTGCTCCCAGGGCCTGTCTTGTACCACACCAGTCCCCACCTGGGACCTTGCCTGTGTCCCCATGGTGGTGTTAGAGGCTTTGACCACATCAAATGTGTGTTAGCCTGAAGGACAGGCCATTCTGAGTGATCTGAAGTCGTTTTTTTATTTAAATGCAGGTTTATAACTTGTCCCAGAATGTGCAGGAGGATGATCTGCAGCACTTGCAGGTAAGAGAAGAGAAGCTTCAGGGTGACCTAACTGTGGCCTTGCAGGACCTGAAGGAAGCTGCAAGAAGGATGGAGAGAGACTATTTACAAGGGCCTGGGGTGACAGGAAAAGAGGGAATGGCTTCAACCTGACAGAGGGCAAGATTAGATTAGATATTGGGAAGGAATTCCTGGCTGTGGGGGTGGTGAGGCCCTGGCTCAGGTTGCCCAGAGAAGCTGTGGCTGCCCCTGGATCCCTGGAATCCAGGGATCCCCTTCCAGGCCAAGTTGGACAGGGCTTGGAGCCACCTGGGATAGTGGGAGATGCCCCTGCCCATGGCAGGGGTTTGGAAACAGATGACCTTTAAGTTTCCTTCCAGTCCAAACCATTTTGGGATTCTATTCCATGATTGTAAATTAGAAGCCTGGATGTTGCCATCTGGTACTGGCTCAGTACAGGTGACCCCCCTAAGGGCAATTCCAGCCCTGGCTGTTGGAGAAAAGCAGCTAATGGGATTTTTGTGGCACAGGTGTCCTGCCCATTTCCTGGAATTACCTCCTGCTTTCCCTTCTGTTTAGGTGATTGATTGATTGATTGATTGATTGGTTAGGTAGGTTTTTTCAGGAGCTTAAGGAAAAGGAAACAAAAGCAAAAGTCCAGCTGAAAGAAATCATCATTTGAAGACTTCTGAATTATTTCAGTCTGTAAATATTATTAACAATAACACCTTTTTAACACTGAATTTATCCAGTGCAACTCTGATCTTCCAGTTCGGATTTTAAGCCATTACTGTTCAACAAGCTGACCCACTTTTAGGCATCTGTGAAATACATTACTGTGCCTTCAGTTTGAAATTAGAGTCCAGAAAGACTGGAGAGTCTTCAAGTCTTGCTTGTAGGCTGATTTTAGAGTCTTTGCACAGCGGGAAAGTGCTTATTCCTGAATTCATTTCCGCTCGTTCCTGGAGTGTTTAGAGGGAGCAGGGCTCCAGCAGTTCCCTTGGAGCACATGAAGTTTCTGGTTGGTATGAAAGCAGCAGCAAGCAGCTGACTTGAGCCATTTTGCACAGATTTGGCAGCCAAACCCTCCAGGCTGAGACCTTTCACGTGAGGGCTCAGGGCGGTGATTGTCCGTAACGGCTCCGGGTGCCTCTCGGATGGGGATGGGAAACCCAGAGCCAGTTTGTGTTCCAGCTCTGCACATGGAGCTGTTAGTCCTGGATCGTAAATGTCCCTTACTCCTTCACAGAATCATAAAATTCCCTGAGCTGGAAGGGATCACAAGGATCATCCAGTCCACTTCCTGGCCATGCACAGACACCCCAACAATCCCCCCCGTCCCTGAGAGTGTTGTCCAAACCCTCCTGGAGCTCTGGCAGCCTTGGGGCCGTGCCCACTGCCCTGGGGAGCCTGGGCAGTGCCAACCATCCTCTGGGGGAAGAACCTTTCCCTAAAATCCAACCTGACCCCAGCTCCAGCCATTCCCTCAGGTCCTGTCCCTGCTCACACAGAGCAGAGCTCGGTGCTGTTCCCATGTATCCCACAGCCCAGCTGACTGTCCTGTTCTTTCCTTCTCCTTCCAGCTTTTCACCGAGTATGGCCGGCTGGCCATGGAGGAGACATTCCAGAAGCCTTTCCAGGTGAGTCCCGGCCAGCTCTCTTGTCCCTGAGCCCGTTGGCTTCACCACGAGGTGTCACTGCAGGATGGGAGGAGATGGGATTGCCCTGGGACTGGCTCAGCTGCTCCAAGGAAAGGCTTTGTGCTTTGCTGCCCCCAGAGAGGCTTCCAGATACTTCCAACATCCCTCTTGCTTTCCTCCCTGAACCTTTGCCTTCCCAAGAGCTCTACCCTGTCCTGCCAGGATTGGAGAGCAGGTGGTTTTGCTGCAGGTTTGTCACACTCTGTACTTGGAGACTGCCCAGCTTTTGCCAGGGAATCCCTGCTCCTGGCAAAATGAAAGGACAAAGATTAGCAGAGCTGTGGGAAGGCTCAGTTTAAGTGGGGTTTTAGCTTCAAATAAGGGACATCTGTTCACCCTGCTGCTTCCCAACCTGTGAAAAGCTGCTGTTCAAAAAAAAGGAGAGCTTTGGGCATCCACAGTAGGTGAGAGGGTAGTTGGATGGGGGTTTGTGAACTTCCCAAAGTGGAAAATAGCAGAGAACAAAACATGCTGCAAAAATTCAGAGTGATTGGGAATGGGTTACAGCTATTTTACATTTGCTTTCCAACATAAAAAAAGAATTGTTGTCCTGGAAGGACTGAGGGGTTTATAGGCTGTCTGTGGTCAGGAAGTGGAAGTGAAATTAAAAGGTTAAAAAATATGACAAATGGACAAAATTGAGATCTTGGGGGAATTTTAAGGGTCTATTGGATGCTGGCATGGGCAGATGACTGATAAAGGATGTGAAAACTACCAGTAAAAATACAGGACTTGTGGTAGCAAGAGCTTGAAGAAAGTTGTAACACGGTAGAGCAGAAAGCCAGACATTAAATAAATATCCCTGCTCCTTATTTAAAAACTGTGGGGATAATGCAGCCAAATATTCCAGTGAAAGTGAGATACTTCCTACTCCATCAGTAAAAAGGAGGCTGTAAGGGGAAACTTAAATATGCTTAAATCATTAGGGCTGGATAATAGGCTCTGATTTTACCAAAGACTTTAATTGCTGTCAAGTCACACAGTTGGTGGATGGTGAGTCTTGTCAAACAATCCCATTATCAATTTTTAAAAGGCACGGGCTTGGTTGATAAAGGTAACTCTCACCATGTTATATCTCCTTCTCTAAGCCTTATCTCCCTAAGATGCTGATTAAAAGCAAATGAAGTCAGCATTGTCTGGTTTAGTCCATTGTTAATGGATTAAAAACTCATTAACTGATAGATGCCAGAGCACGCTGAACTAATTTTAATAGGGAATGATCATCCTTCAGAAGTGTTTCCTCAGGGTCCCCCCAGGCTCTCTCTGGTTCAGTGTCATCTTCAGTAATGATCTGGGGGGAAATATCAAGCAACTGCTTGTGGATGTGACAAAATCTGGTCGAAGGATTGATGGTGATGTGGCCAGGTGAGCTCTGCAGATCTCCTGTCCACGTCCCAGCACGGGCTCGTTCCTCCAAAACATGTTTTTAAAGATATGAGGTTTTTTGATTAGGAAACAGGAAAAATGAGAGCAGAGAGGCCCTGGCACAAGTTGCCCAGAGAAGCTGTGGCTGCCCCTGGATCCCTGGAAGTGCCCAAGGCCAGGTTGGAGCATCCTGGGATAGTGGAAGGTATCCCTGCCCATGGCAGGTGGTGGGACTGGATGAACTTTTAGGTCCCTTCCCACCCAAACCACTCTTTTGTTCCATGATCCTCCAAGTATGACAGTAAAAAAACTGCAGTTTCACTGATCCTGCTGGAAGGAAAGTGAGACTTGGCAGTGGAAAATCAGCATTTTCCTTCAGCTCCCTCCTCTCCACGGTGTGTCCTCACACCGAGGAGCCCTCACCAGACACCAGCCCTGACTGTGGTGCCTTCACAAAAGGGGTGCCTGTCACTCTGCTTGGCAAACACAGCCCATCTGGAACAACTTGAGTTAAAAAAAATAATAATTCCCAATTCAAGACATGCACAATGTGTTTGTGGAAAAGTCCTGAACATGGACATGTCTCTTAAGCATCTCATGGGCTTTGAAAGAACAGTGTGTCCCCAACCAGCTCACTGGGTGCAGTGGTTGGAAAAGGCCAACTCACTGTTCTCTCTTTTTTTTTTTTTGTTTTTTTTATTTTAACCTTTTCTGATGTTTTATGGAAGTGAAATAAAGAGCAGAAATATTTCCCCTCCCTCCACTGGATTTTTGTTCTAAACATAGACGAATTTTAGGGAAATTCCAATGAAATGGATTCCACTTGCTGACCTGCTTATTCGTGTGCATGAGAGGAGCCCTGGCAGCCCTGCCAGACCCTCCTGGACTTCCCCCTCCAAACCCTTTATTTCTTGCATGGGATGTTGATCCCTTGCACAGATGAGACACTGGGGACCTGATTTCTTCTGAAAATATTTCATTTAAAGATTCAAAGCTGACCCTTCTGGTATTTATTTATTTCTTGCCCAGGAACTTTGAATGCCTCCATAAAGATTACAAAAGACAGTGATTTCTTATTCACCCTCGTTCCTCTGCATCTGCTTCTCATTAAAAGTCTGTCTGGAAGGCTGCCCAGTGAAAAAGGCTGAAAAAAAAAAAGAGCCTGTAAAATTCCCATAGGATGGAACTAAATGTGGCTGGAATTAGGGAGCTCACTGCCTTTTGTCCTGGTTACCAACAATCTCTTCCCCTGTTGTGCAGTTGAAATGATTGATGATGTTCTCCCTGCCAGGGAGCCAAACTGGTGCAGCAGTTTGGGGTGTGCTGCCCCCCTTTTCTTGTCTGCACGGTCTCAATGCCATGATGGGGTGGCAGGAAAGGCAGGAGGTGCTGCTGGAGCTGGGAAAAGACTCAGGGCAAGGTTTTGTTGTGGGATAAGATGGGGGTGAAGGTGCTGGTGGGGTTCAGCCACCGCTGTGGACTCCAAGCAGCAGCTCACTGTGACTTGGTGGGTGCTGTATAACACTGATCCCACTGTTCTCTGGCTCTGTTTTCCAGTCCCTTATATTCCTGGTTCGTGACTGGAGCTTCCCTTATGAATTTTCCTATGGATCTGATGGTGGGGCAAGATTTTTGGAGAAGCGACTGAAGGTATGTTCTGTCTGCTCTGGCAGGTTGGATGGGGCTTGGAGCAACCTGGGATAGTGGAAGGTGTCCCCGCCCATGGCAGGGGGTTGGAACTAAATGGTCTTTAAGATCCCTTCTAACCCAAACCATTCCACGAATCTGGAATCTGCCATCACTGGGTGTCAGGAGTGAAGTGCAGTGCTGGTTATGGTCACGTGCAGCCAGTGCCTTAAAAATCACAGGACAGGCATTTTGGGAGGATAAATTTCCTTGCCACGTTCAGTGGCTTCTTCCCAAGCCCAGCTCCCTGGAACTCTCTTTCTGGGAGAGGCAATGGATTCCCAAGAGACCAGGAATGATGTTTTAGTAATTGGTAGTTTTACACTAAAAATGATGGGCAAGGGCTCCAGTGGGATTAATCGGGAATTGCATGGGTGATCTGGGAGTGGAGAGACCTAATTAAAGGCAAGACAAGAAAGGCCCTGGTGGGAAATCCCAAATGTTTTTGTATTCCAGTCATACACAGACATGCACATTTTCTAAAGGATAATAACATGCCCCAGGCTGTGTGGTCAGAGATACACCAGTTCCTTGGTCTCTGTCTTTGTCCTTGTGCAGTAAATCCCTAAGGGATGTCCTTCTGTGTTGCTTTTTCCTGCTCTAAGCAGCCACAGTGTGGAGTATCCCATGCTCCTGCCAGTGCTGCTGGCCCAGCATTATCCCAGGATTCCCATCAGAAGGAAAATCCCTCTCCCCAAACTGGGGGAAGCGAAGGGGCAGCACCGATCTCTTTGTGGTGACCAAGGGCCTGAGGGAACAGCTGGAGCTGTGCCAGGGGAGGGTCAGGTTGGACCTCAGGAACAGGTTCTTCCCCCAGAGTGTGGCTGGGCCCTGGAACAGCCTCCTCAGGGAAAGGGTAATGACTTCAAACCTTCCAGAGCTCAAGGAATGCTTGGACAACGCTCTCAGGGACTGGGTGGGATTGTTGGGGTGTCCTGGGCAGGGCCAGGACTTGGACTGCCTGATCCTTGTGGGTCCCTTCCAACTCAGGATATTCTGTGATTTATCCTCTCTTGCAGGTGTCAGGAAATCAGCACGAGGAGCTGCAGAACGTCAGGAAGCACATCCATTCCTGCTTCACCAAGATCTCCTGCTTCCTCTTACCTCACCCGGGCCTCAAAGTTGCCACCAACCCGAATTTCGATGGGAAACTGAAAGGTACGAAGGCAAAGCTCTGCTTTTTAGGCTGATGCAGCTTAGATGCTCTATCAGAGTGTCCTGCTTATTCCTGAAACCTCTGTAAGTATTTTCCATGAAAAAATCTTCTGGGAGAGTTATGTACATGCACCCATCTGCTTCTTCCCAGTCCAGCAAGACAGACATGGGAGGCAAAAAGGTGTGGGAGGCTGAAAAGATCTGAGAGGTGCTGGCAATACCCGCTGTCAGGACACTGACAGGCAAACTGGGAAGGGCAGGGATGAGACTGGAAGTTTATGGACGTGGTGTTAAGCCTGCAGTTAATTCCTGTGCCTCACCAGGCTCAGAGTGGTGCAGCCTGGTGCTCATGGAGGGTGGAAGGCCGGTTCCACGAGACCTTGAAAAGCTTTCCAGGGAATATTTAATCCTCCTGACTTATCTGATCAGTGGTTTCCCTCCAGGGCACACTTAGTTCAACAGGTTAAAAAAAAAGAAGGAAGGAAAAAAGAGCCATGGTGAGAATTCTCCACCCCAAAAGGAGCCACGTGCTGTGGGTATTTTTAGGTATTTTGTTGTGAGCTGCTCACCAGCGTGGCTGGTTCCAGGCTGCTGCAATCTCAGCAATAAAGTGGCCAATTAGCCACTCCAAATAAATCAGCAGACAGCTGTAGATGATAGTTCTTCCCTGCTTTTGTCTGGCTAGTGCTCAGACTTGTTCTCCCAGCAAACTCCATGCTGAGCAGAGGGAGATGTGCTGCTGGAAAAGGAGCTGATCTCTGTAGTTCCCCCTTAATTTCAGGTGCTGAGTAGGACTGAACAAGTGGTTTGTGCAGACAGGGGTTGTCAGCAGCTTCTTGACACAGTTTTCTTGTCCCCTCAGAGCTGTGCTCAGCTTTTTGTGCTCTGGTGGAGGGAATGTGGGAGATCTTCCCTGCTCTCCTTATCTTCCAAATGTCTGGCTGTTGCACTGCTTTTTTTGCCTTCAGTCCCATATAGTTTAATTTAAATGGCAGCACCAGCAATCCCACCTGTGCCTGAGAGCTTTTTCCAAATGCTCCTCGAGCTCTGTCAGGCTTGGGCATGTAACCATTCCCTGGGGAGCTGTTCCAGGGCCCAACCACCCTCAGGGGGAAGAACCTTCTAGTGGAAGGTGTCCCTGCCCATGGCAGGGGATTGGAATGAGATTGTCTTTAAGGCCCCTTCCAACCCAAACCATTCTGTGATTCTCTGATGCCATTTTTGGGGTTTTTTTTCCAGAAATAGACGATGAGTTCATCAAGAACTTGAAGATTTTGATTCCTTGGCTTCTTAGTCCTGAGAGCCTGGATGTTAAGGAGATCAATGGAAACCATATCACCTGTCGAGGCCTTGTGGAGTATTTTAAGGTATTGGTCTATTAAGAGAACATGGGTTTACTCACCTGTAGCCTTTTGCTCTAATTAAAGGGGAAAACAGGAGCAGGCAGGGCTGCCCTGATAGTCCTGACTCACTGCAGCAGAGAACAAACACCTCATGGGCCTGTATCTGAACTCACAGTGAGCCCCAAAACTGGGAGGAGCTGTTTTCCTCCCCTGGAGAGTTGAGGACTAGAGGGGGTGAGCTGAGGGCTGTCTTCCCATTGCCTTTGGAAAGAGCTTATTTTTGTTGTCATGACTACTGGGACATTTCCATGAGAGGCATCCATGAGTAATTCTCACCACCTGGTCTTCAGGGCTACCTGCCTCTGGCTCCTTCTCCCTCAGGGAAGGACAGAGGTAGGTGCAAATCCAATGGGAGGGTGACTGGAGCCTGGAGTGACTGATCCAGGCCACCCTGGGTCCACCTTGAGCCACGTTACGTCACACTTTCTGACCAAAGCCATCTTGTGCCAGTAACATCCTCCTCCTTTAGATCCTGTCAGAGCTGTGTCTGGAGCTGGGTGGGGGTGGTTGGTGTTGCTCATGTGTGCTGCATTCCATGTGATTTCCTGTTTTCCAGGCATACATAAAGATCTACCAAGGGGAAGAGTTGCCACACCCCAAGTCGATGCTGCAGGTATGTGAGTGGGAGCTGGTGGGAATCCATGCACTGGAATTGGCATTAATTCCCAGAGTTGTCCAGCTAGTGCATCACATTGGGTCTTCTGTGATTGCATTCCAAAATGTTAATGTAACAACCCAAGGAGCAGCGTTTTGGGAAGCATTTGGCAGTCGAGGGGCCTGATGTGGCTTAGGAATTGCCCCTTGGATGGGCTGTGGGGAATTGCTGGCTGCACAGCTCGGCTGGAATGATCCCCCACAGGTGAATAGGGGATCCATGGGGCCACACAGGGAGGTGACAGGGCTCTGCATGTGGGCAGTGGCTCCTGGGCTGCTGCTCCACTCCCGGAGCCAGCCGGCATTCCGGCATTCTGGAGGGTGCAGCTGTGGCTGTTTACATACAGCTGAGCCTTTTATCTCTTTCCTTGCTGTTTCCCACAGCCAAAGCCAAAGATTTCGTTGCTCTGGCTTGGAGGGAGGGAATCCTCTCTTCATGCAGGCTTTTGGATGTGTAAATAGGGGATGATCTTATTTGGGATTGGTTGGAGGCTGGGAGAGCACACTTGGCTAAGCAAGGGAGCTCCTGAATTCTGGGTGTCCACACATGTGTCCTGGCTGTGAACACATGTGGACCAGAGAGCTACTTCCTGCTGTTCCACTGCTTAACCCTGTCCTTCTGCACCCTAATTTTGTGCCCCTTTTGCCCTTCTTACAGGCCACAGCAGAAGCCAACAATTTAGCAGCAGTTGCCACTGCCAAAGACACCTACAGCAAGAAGATGGAAGAGGTGGGTGGTGTTGAGCATGTCTGTTCATAGTGCTCCTGTCACTCCTGCATGGGATCCTGGAATGGTTTGGGATGGAAGGGGCCTTAAAGCTCATCTTGGTCCAACACCCCTGCCATGGACAGGGACACCTCCCACTAGACTAGGTTGCTTCAAACCCCTTCCAGCCTGGCCTGGGATACACTTCCAGGGATGAGGCAGCCACAGCTTCTCTGGGCAACCTGTGCCAGGGCCTCCCCACCCTCATAGGGAAGAATTTTTTCCCAATATCCCATCTCTCCCTGCCCTCTGGCAGTGGGAAGCCATTCCTTTTGTCCTGTCCCTCCATCCCTTGTCCCCAGTCCCTCTCCAGCTCTCCTGGAGCCCCTTTAGGCCCTGGAAGGGGCTCTCAGGTCTCCCTGGAGTCTTCTCTTCTCCAGGCTGAACAGGCCCAACTCTACCCTTGTAGGGAAACCTCCCTGCTTGGTTTCCTGGTAGAAAATGTCCTTCATGGATTTGGCCAGGTGTCAGGGTTTCAAGGAGGGTCTGTACTATATTCCTGGTGGAAAAAGGCTCTTTCTCCCAGGCTGGAGGAGAGCAAAGCCTGATATCATGGCAGGACAGGGGAGGGTGAGTGACCCATGGTCACTGCTTCATCCCATGGCAGCTCTCTGCAGACCACGTGGCCCCTGCTGAGCTTCCATTCTCTTCCCAGCATTCCACAAAAATGTGATGGAGTGGGGTGGTCACCTGTGCCATGGCTGGTGCTAATTAGGGGATAAATTCATTATAAACTGGCTTTTCACCGGTGCCCTGCTCTGTCAGCCCATCCCTCAGCTCTGGTGAGGGGCTGGGTGTGATGTTTTAAGGTGGAGCTCAGACCCCTGGCTGTCTCAGCCACTTCCAGGCCCCCACTCTCTTCATCCATAGTATCCCAGGATTATATCACAGAACACTGGAAATCGCTGCCGGTTGGCAGGAAAAAAATACAGAGCTGCATGGCCAAACTGGATCTTAAAACTAACATATCCATACTCTGATGCACAAGGAAAATGCTTCCAAATAGGGTTTTCCAGCTCTGGAAGATGCTGGGATTCGGGGTCAGTGTCGGGAAGCTACGGGGGAATTGAGCAGGGAGCTGTGGGACGGGGCAGCACCGTCTGTTTAACCGGGTGGGCAGACCGGTCATGGAGCAATTCCTGCAGGATCCGGTGGTCCTGTAGAGCCCCAGTCCCGGCGTTTTGCACGTCTGTGGGGTGCTGCCGTTCCGGGGGGTGACATTCCAGGTGCCATTCCAGTGCCTTTCCCGCCGCAGGTGTGCGGGGGGGACAAGCCCTTCCTGGCGCCCAGCGACCTGCAGAGCAAACACGCCGAGCTGCGGGAGGAGGCGGTGCGGCTGTTCCGGGGCGTGAAGAAGATGGGAGGGGAGGAGTTCAGCCGCAGGTACCTGCAGCAGCTGGAGGGGGAGATCGACGAGCTCTACATCCAGTACATCAAGCACAACGACAGCAAGAACATCTTCCACGCCGCCCGCACCCCGGCCACGCTCTTCGTCGTCATCTTCATCACCTACGTCATCGCCGGCGTCACCGGCTTCGTGGGCCTGGACATCATTGCCAGTCTGTGCAACATGATCATGGGCTTGACACTTATCACACTCTGTACCTGGGCTTATATCAGATACTCTGGGGAGTACAGAGAACTGGGAGCAGTAATAGACCAAGTGGCCGCAGCCTTGTGGGACCAGGTAGGATAAAAAGAGCTTTTGGTTTGAACAGAAAAACGAACCCCCCCCACCCCACCCACCCCGCTGAGCTCTGGAGGGGATTTGCCTCCCCGTTGAGATGGTGTTTGGGATTTTAGGGTTGTTAGAGCCGGCAGATCCAGCTGCTGGTGCTGTGATGTGTGCCCTGTTTTACGTGTTAACCCACTCCTTAGACCTTCCAGGTGGGGAAAGGAAGGAAGGAGGAATTGCTTTCAGTGCAGTTTGTGGAGTTTGCTGCAAAGTGAGGTGTCTTAGGGATGTCACAGCCCTGTGTTAGAGCAGGGTGAACAGCAAGGCTGGAGCTGCATCCCTGAGCCTCTGGAAAACAAGCTGTGTAGATCCAGGCTGGGCATGAGAAAACTCAAAGCAAGCTCTTTTGTTTTGGCTCTTTTTTTTTCCCCCTACTTGTCTTACCCGTCACCAAATGTGAGTTTGTGGAGCCTCAGACCTTGTGGGAATGGGGCAGCTCTGCCATGGATCCCACTGGGATCCTCAGAGCCGGTGTGTGTGCTTGTCCTGTGCATGTCTATGTTAAAAAGGAAGATCCACCTCCCTCCCCTGGTTCAGGGCAGGGATTTTGGCTCTCCTGGGTCTGCTGGAGGTCAAGGCCAGGTTTTACCTCTGCCTGTTTTGGCACCAGGCCTTGCTTTCCTGTTACAGCCCTTCCCTCTTCCCACTGCAGAGCTGGGGAAAGCCCAGACCCTGCATGTTCCACTGACCCCCTTTGCCCATCCAGAGGTGCAATCCTTGTTCCCAGAGAGCTGGAAGGCTGCACTGGCCTCCTGCTCTTCCATGGCAGAGCCGGGTGAGCTCATCCCTCAGAAACCACCAAGGGTTTGATTCCTGGCAGGAAGGGCCATTCTCCAGACCTTTACCTGCTCCTTCCCTCCTTTTCATCCACCAACGAGGTTTCCATGGAGGGCAAGCACATTTCCCTGCTTCCCTGTGCTACTGGAACTGCAGCTTGGGGAGAAAATAATGGAAGCATTTACTGATCAGTTCCTTCATTCCAGAGCTGGGTAGTGGCAGCACATCACCTGTGTCCCAGGTGGATTCATCCTGGCTTCCCTGTTGCCAGCAGCCTCAGCACCCCCAGTAACCCCCACTCCAGTGGCTCTTTGCTCAGGGACACTTCCCAGCTGCCTTTGGGATTTGCTGGAATAGTCAAACCCAGCGTTTGCCCATCCCAGTGCAGGCAGCAGTGGGAGTTCAGCAAGAACAGGACACAGCAGGAAGTTGCTGCCCACTTACAAAATGCCCAGCTGGGGGAAAATAAAGAGGTTAAAGTGCCTGGAGCTGCTCCATGGCTCCTGCTGGCCTCCATGGCATTCCAACCAGAGGGAAAGTTCTCTGGAGCAGGAGCTGTGCAGGCGGGTGGTGCCGGGCTGGGCAGTGAGACTCTGCCCACCACGAGCCCCAGGGCTGCCCCAGGGGGATTCCAAGCACTCATGGCTCCATCCATGGAAGTGGGACTGGATGCAGGAGGGATGGACGGAGCGGTGAGGGGTCCTGCCTGTTTGGGATGAGCCTCCCTGGGTACACAGCAGGGATGAGCTCCATGTGCTCCCATGGACACGTGTGATACACAGAGATGTTTCTCTCTCTTTCTGTCTCCCCCTTCCCAATGCCTCTCCCAGGGAAGCACGAATGAGGTAAGTGGCTCTTTGTTCTCCGCATGTTCCCTCGGGCCAGCTGGGCCCTGGGATCCCGGGAAAAGCCTCTTGGACCCGGCTGCACCTTTGGGCTTGTGGAGGACTGGGACTGTGAGGGCTCTGGGCAGCAGCTCTGGTTGTTCCCTTTGATACCAATGACTGGGGAAGGGTGTTGCTGTGGGAAGTGCTGGGAGCCAAGTGGGGGAGAGATCTGGGCAGGGAGTGTGATGTTGGGATGGGGATTTTCATCTCCCAGCAGTTCTGTTTGGGGATTTTCCAGTTGTGCTGAGAGGTGAAACCCAAACCCAGTTTGTTTTGGAGCACCAACTGTGCAGGTGCCTCTGCCCCCCTTGGGTGAGACCCCAGCTCTGAGGCACCAACAGGGATGTGGAGCTGCTGGAGCAAGTCCAGAGGAGGTCGTGGAGATGCTCCAAGGGCTGGAGACCTGGGAGAGCTGGGGGTGTTCACCTGGAGAAGAGAAGGCTCCAGGGAGACCTGAGAGCCCCTTCCAGGGCCTAAAGTGGCTCCAAGAGAGCTGGAGAGGGACTGGGGACAAGGGATGGAGGGACAGGACACTGGAATGGCTTCCCACTGCCAGAGGGCAGGGCTAGATGGGATATTGGGAAGGAATTGTTGGCTGTGAGGGTGGGGAGGCCCTGGCCCAGGTTGCCCAGAGGAGCTGTGGCTGCCCCTGGATCCCTGGAAGTGTCCAAGGCCAGGTTGGAAGGGACTTGGAGCAACCTGGTCTAGTGGAAGGTGTCCCTGCCCATGGCAGGGTGTGGGACTGGATGATCTTTAATGTCCCTTCCAACCCAAACCATCCTGTGATTCCATGATTTATGGACACAGCCACAGCAGCCCTTCCTGGGCTGGGCTCATTCCAGCTCCCCCTGCCCAGCAGTGCAGGATCCCAGTGCCCAGCTCTTTGCCAGGCCAGGGCTGAGGGCAACTGGAACCTTGTTCAGGCAGAGCTTTGTCAGCACCTGATTAACCCAAGACAGATTTCCCACTAATCTGCATTTACTGCTCACGTACCTCAATCCAGGATTGCAGCCAAGTGGCTCCCCAGTGAGGCTGTGACAGGACAGCTCCATCTTTTGAGCTGTCACCAAAGCCTGCCAGCTCCATCTGTCAGTGCCAGCACACTTTGGAGCCACTGATTTACATGTGGAATCCCTCAAAAAGAAAACACAGCAGTTAAAAATCAGCCCATTCCTCCCCTCCCAGGCAGGGCAGCTGTTTGGTACCTCACTGATACCAAACCAGCAAGAGGCAGAACAGGGGCTTTGCTGTGGATGAGCTCTTGGACAAACCCTGCCAAGCAAAAATCAGTGCTGAGACACTGGTTTGGCATCAACTTCCCCCCCCAAAATAGCCCAAAATGCTGCAAGGTCACTTATGGTTTGGAGGTGAACTCTTCCACCAGTCCTCTCTGTTCCCAGACAATCCCAAAACACCACTTCTGTTCCCTTTTGGGATGGGTTCAGCATCACCTTGGACATCCCTGGACTTTTCTCATCCCCCACCTTCCTCCTCCTCACTGCAGCTTCAGCCTCCTTCATTCACACCCCGAGCACATGAGGAACATCCTGTCAGTGTGAGGGTTCCTGCCTGTCAGGTGCCTCTTCCCACCCCTTCCAGAGCTAATCCTGGCTCACCAACAGTTCCCAGCAGGAGCTGGTGGGATTTGGGTTGTTTTTTTTTTTTTTTTAACTCCCCCAGTGACAATTTCATTTAAAATGGGAATGTCAGAGCCATGACAAGTCCTCTGCAGCCAGACCTGTGTCTTGGCATCTCCTGTTCCTTTTGCTCTGGGATAAAGGTGAGGGATGAAGGGGGATGGTTGGAGGGGGGAATTACTTGCCTTTCACCAGCCCGTGGCCGCTCTGGTTCAGCACTGCAGCCACTCCTGAGTGTCCTGACCCTGGAGTCACTCCAGGGCTGGTGGAAAATGGTAAAATCAGAAGGAAAAAATTGACAACATCAGCAGAAAAACGATCAGGACAATGACCTGTCACCGCCCGGGGCCCTGGGTGTGATGCAGTTACGGATCTGCCTGGTGGGGAAAGCAAGTGCTGAGGCTGCAGGAATTTAACTCGTAGGGAAAAACAACCCCTGGGTGTCTCTTCCTCGTCATCCAAATTATTGATTGAATACAGCTCAGAAGGGGTGAGATGTTTGAAAAATTGGAACTGTAGAATCACAGAATTCCCTGAGTTGGAAGGGACCCACAGGGATAACCCAGTCCCACTCCTGGCCCTGCACAGACACCCCAACAATCCAACCCTGTCCCTGAGAGCGTTGTCCAAACCCTCCTGGAGCTCTGGCAGCCTTGGGGCCATGCCCACTGCCCTGGGGAGCCTGGGCAGTGCCAACCACCCTCTGGGGGAAGAACCTTGTCCTGAGATCCACCCTCACCCTGCCCTGGCACAGCTCCAGCTGTTCCCTCAGGCTCTCACTCCACGAGCTGGGATCTCTGTGTGTCGGACACTTGTCACGATCGCCTCGGTGCACGGAACAAACACGGGCTGTGGTGGGCCGGGATGTGCCGCTGCGGAACGAGCGCGGGGTTGGGAACGGGGTTGGGAACGGGGTTGTAAGTGAGCTGTGTGTCTCTCCCCAGGCCTTGTACAAACTGTACAGCGCGGCCGCGACCCACAGGCACCTGTACCACCACGCCTTCCCCGCCCCGCGCGCCGAGCCCGACGGCCCCGACAGGAAGAAGGTGTGAATCCCAGCACGCTCCCGCCGATGCATGACGGAGGTGGTGCCGCCACCTCCTCCTCGGATCCAAGCCCTCACCCTCGTTGTCCACCCCAGACGCCGCCGGGAGCGGGAGCGCCGGTGCCGCTCGGGTGCCGGGAGGTGCCGGCACGGCGGTGTCCGTCTGTCCGTCCGTCCGGCACAGCCGCAGCCCAGCGCTTTGGGCTGTCCCAGCCAGCGACTCCCAGCTCATCTTCAAAGCCTTATTTCCCCCCTTCTTAATTAGTTCCCACTGAGGGAAACAGTCATTTACGTGATACTGCAACTAAAAGAGGCCGCAGCTTATCCAAAAGCCAATTTGTTTCAGGTACTTGAACGAGTTATAACATGTAACCACTTTTTTTTTTTTTCCCCCCCTTCAATTAACTAGTTAATGACATAAACATAATTAAAGGTGTATTAACTTGCTTTATCAGACACTGTAAGGGCACTTCTGCTGTGGAATGTTAACGATGTGTGGGGAACGGGGCTGTTTCTGTTTGTCTGCACAAAGTGTCACTTTGTAGCTGTGTTGGAGGAAGTTTCACTGTATTTCTGTACATATTTATCCATGATAGTGCATAGGACGTGTGGTACAGTTCTATTCTTTTATTGTCAGGACTATTAAAGTTTGCTTTTGGTTCCTAAGAAGTTGGTTCGACAGGGAAAAGTTATTTACTAGCAAAAAAAAAAATAGTYYTKRMCCCYYCYYCYYYSGGGKTTTT